AGCCACCGCATTGAAGTTTGAGGCCAGTCTACTAACGTGGGCATCTCATTGGACGGATTGAGACTGTTTGCGTACGTACGCTAGCAATGAGGGTCGCGCGTCCGTTTGCGCATGGCCCGAGGCACGCCGAAAACTGCTTCACGCAAGGTCATATGCTCTGAGGGTCCTCGTCTGTGGCATCACGAGTTAGGAGGCGTCTGTTGAACCACCACATACACTACGCAGTTTACTCTGAGACACTACTGACGTGTTTGCATGGGACGATTGTTACGCTGGCTATACGGCAGTCGTCGGTCATGCGATTGATATAGGCACCCCCAAGCCATTGTGACAACCACCGCACTTCCAACAGGAAGTTAACAGCATGATACAGACCTTTTTATCCACTGGGTTAATCCAGCTGTCCAAGCCACCTTGGGCGTCCCCGATCACGCTCGTGTCGAATCAGGACGGTCGCTTCCGTTTCTGTATAGACTACCGCCGCCTTAACTCGGTTACAACCAACCTTTCGTTTCCGCTCCCTAACATTGATATCATGTTGGATGTCGTCGCAGGTGCGCAATGGTTTTCTACACTTGGCTTAAAGTCCGGATATTGGCAAGTCGAAGTTGAACCTGACGACCGCCATAAAACGCCGTTCATACTTCCTTAGGGTCTTTTTAAATTTGAGACCATGCCATTCTGATTACGCAACGCGTCAGCCACCTTCCAGCGCCTAATGCAATCGATCCTTGGTCCTTTATACCCATCTCGCTGCCTGATATATCTTGATGATGTCATCGTATTCGGGCGCTCTGCCCAAGAGCACACAGAGAATCTTGCCGCAGTTCTCTCAGCCTTGTGCGAGGTCGGCGTCCGCCTTAATCCGCAGAAATACAAGTTTATGCGGCGCTATGTCACCTTCCTCGGCCACGAGGTCAATCCCGAGGGTATATACGGCCTGCCTGAAAAGATAGACGCGGTTCGTTCGTGGCCCATACCACAATTAGCTACAGAGGTCGGAGGTTTCCTCGGCCTCGAGTCGTACTACCGTAGTTGTGGGTTCACGGAGATCGCACGCCCCTTATACCTCCTGACAGAAAAACATCGCAAACAAATGATCAGTGCCAACTTGCTTTCCACGAGCTTAAAAGTCAACTCATCACAGCATCTGTCCTCATGCTGTCAAACACAGACCACGATCCCCCTCCATTTGTACACGACAGCAACGCCAGTGGTTTTACCATCGGTGCCGTGCTATCGCAAGCCGATGCAGATGGGCTCGATGGGCCCATCTGTTTCGCCAGTTGGTCCCTAACCAAAGCAGAGCGTACTTATTACATATACCGCCGTGAACTTCTAGCGCTAGTCACATTCGTTAAACAGTTCAAGCTGTTTTTGCTGGGTCGCCCATTTATCCTCCGGTCCGAACATAAGGCCCTTCAGTAGCTACAAAACATGAAGGAGGCCGAAGGCCAGCTAGCCCGCTGGTAAGAACTCCTACAAGGGTTCAACTTCAAGTGCCTTTACCGCCCTGGCCGTCAACACGGCAATGCGGACGCCCTCTCCTGGCAGCCCCCATTGACACTCGTAACTGAATCTAGCCAGAACCCGCACTCATTTCGACGCTTACAATTGGCAGCCTCACTCGCTATCATTGGGCGGTTGGTCAAAGCACCGACCCTATTACTGTGATCATCTGTGATCTCTAAATACATGACCGTTCCCGGCCGACTTACGTTGAACTCCGCGGCTCCTACGGCGTATGGACGCAGTGTCCGTCACTAACGAGTGTCAGTCCTTAACGAGTGGGTCTGTCGTTTTGGCGCGCCCCTTTCGCTCTACTCAGACTGCGGCGCTAACTTCAACAGCAATCTGCTTCGTGAGTCTTGCGACCTCCTCTTTATCCATAAGACGCGGACTACCCCGGGGCACCCCGAAGGCAACGGACAGGTTGAACGTATCAACCGAAGCACTATGAACTTACTGAAAGCTTTCGCTGAAAGATTTCGCTAAAGCTCCTCACTCGCACGATTGGGACACCCGATTGCTCTGTGTGCTGATGGTTTACCGGGCGGCGGTCCAATCGTCTACGGGCTACGACCTTTTCTTCATGCTGA